TGTTTTTACCTTATTAAATTTTGGTTTTGTTATACAGAACTATCTGATTATTTGGTGTAAAATAGTATATTATTCCCAAAAATTATAATATGGTTAACCAAGTAAAAGTTAAATCTAAACGAGCGGCTACTAAACGTTTCAAAATTTTACCCACTAGCAAAAAAATAAAACGCTGGCATGCCTATACTTCCCATTTGGCTTACAGTAAATCCACTAAGCAAAAAAGACACTTGCGAAAAAGTTCTTTACTTAACAAAAGCGACTGAAAACGCCTAAAAAAAATAATTTAGAAATTTAACCTTTTTTCTCCTTTCTCTTTCCAACTTTTCTTCGGGTTTTTTTCTATTTTAAATTTTCGGAGTTGGTGAATTGGTTAATTTCGTTAATTGTCTCTTTTTCTTTATTATTCCTCCCAAAAGTATTGTTATTCTCCTCTGCTACTGGATTTGTTATTTCTTTTTCGTTAGTTATAATATTAAAAATATTATTTTAAAGTTTTTGTTACTCTGCTTAGTAATTAAAAGGTTTATTTTTTCAAAAGTGCTCGTAAATTACTGGAACTAAAATTAACTTTTCCCAATTCTTTCATACGGGCTTTGCCTTTTTTTTGTTTGGCTCAGAGTTTCATTTTTCGGGTTCTGTCTCCGCCGTAAAGATTACCAGTAACCAGTTTTTTTAGGGCTGGTAAAGTTTCCCGGGCGATTACTTGTTTACCGATGCAAGCCTGAATTGGCACGGCAAAGGTTTGTTGATTAAGAGTGGCTTTTAATTGTTCGCAAATTGTTTTAGAACGCTCGTAAGCAAAATTTCGGTGAACTAAGAAAGATAAATCGGGAATTAACTGATTGTTAAGTAAAATGTCTATTTTAACAATATCACTGGGATAAAACCCGATTATTTGGTAATTAAAAGAAGCATAGCCGTGGGAAATTGACTTAATTTTGTCGTGAAAGTCAAGAATAAATTCAGCAAAAGGCAAATGATAGTTAAGTTGGTAAAGTGAGCCAGTTTTTCATTCGTGAGATTGGTGAACGCCCCGTTTATTTTGGCATAGTTGCGAAATTTCTCCCACAAACTTTTCGGGAGTGGCAATATCTAAGGAAACAAAAAGTTCTTCCACCTTTTTCATTTTCCCTTCGCTAGGTATTTTCTGGGGATTATTAGTTTCGATAATTTTGTTGTCGGAGAAAGTTACTCGATAGGTGACGCTGGGGGGAGTAGTAATAATTTCGCAATTGTATTCTTTTTGAATTCTTTCGCAAACAATCTCTCGGTGCAGTAAACCGAGAAATCCGCAGCGAAAGCCGGGACCGAGTAATTGTGAATCAATAGGTTCCAAAACTAAACTGCCATCTTGTATTTGTAATTCTTCCAAAGCCTTTTTGAATTCCTTGGTTTGCGAACTATCACTAGGATACAAGTTAGAGTAAATATTAGGTTTTATCTCCTGATAACCTTCGAGGGGTGGTTCATTACTATTTATATCTAACACGGTATCTCCTACTCTGGCTTCTCTCATGTCGCGAATATTGGCGGCAAATCACCCTATTTCTCCGGTTATTAATTTTTCTTTTGTGACTTCTTTCGGGGTTTTTACTCCTACCCTTTCTACCTGATATTTTTTTTGGCTACTATGAAACTTAACCTTTTGCTTAGTGGCTAATTCTCCTTCAAAAATACGGACATAAACAATAACTCCGTGATAACGGCTGTAAAGCAGGTCAAAAATTAGAGCTTTCAATGGTTCTGACATATGATTTTGTTTATTTAGGAATTTCCTAGCCAAGCCAATACTTTTCGAACTTAATTTGTTCTGTTATATAGTTTTATAATCCGATTTAGTAAGGAGAAACAAGTATATAGAATAATAAATAAATATTTATTGTATAAAATTTATTTACATAATGGTATAATATTTATATGGTTAGTTTTTATTAAAATTAAGATTTTAGTAAAGAAATATTGAAAAATAGAGGTCCAAAAAAAATTCTGTGAAGGGTTACGTTTTTTCCCTTCTGTTTCAATTACACTTATAGGAAACAGATAAAAAAATGAAAAATTTCAAAAATTAACTATGACAAATACAAGCACAAAAGGACAAGGTAGTCCTCACTCACACTTTTATCACGTGACTTTTCACAAAGATGATGAAAAATGATACGCACGCGAAGTTAATGGAGACAAAGAAATGTCTTTTGATACAGAAGAAGAAGCTTTTGACCAAGTTAAGGAATGGGTTGAAGAACTAGGAATAGAAGGAAAAGCCCACGTAACTATTCACGATGAACACGGAAAAATCAGAGAAACAAGAACTATTTAGTTCTCACGCTCGCAAACAAAGCAAAGCCGCCGAACAAGGCGGCTTTAGAGTTTGCTCTCAATTTTTTTTTTTTTTGAAAAAGGAGAAGGAATTTCTTCGATAATTTTTTGGCAAAGAAAGTCGACATTTTTTCCAGTTTTGGCCGAAATTAGAAAAATATCATTTTCTTGACAATTAAGCAATTCAATGAGTTGACTTTTGGTCATATCTAATTGAGCGTGAGCCAAATCAATTTTATTAATTACCGGCAAAATCTTTAAATTAAGACTTTTAGCAATCTCGTAATAAGCAAGAGTTTGGGCTTGAATTCCTTTGGTAGCATCAACTAGTAATATTACTCCTTCACAGGCTGCCAAAGAACGTGACACTTCATACATAAAATCAACATGCCCCGGGGTGTCAATTAGATTAAAAATGTAAGGTTCAGAATTTTCTGGTGGATAATATAACTGAACAGCATTCAACTTAATAGTAATACCTTTTTCTTGTTCCAGCGAAAGGCTATCTAATACTCTTTCGATTGATTTATTGCTACCTTTCAGATTGGTTTTTTCTAATAAGCGGTCAGCGAGGGTAGATTTGCCGTGGTCAATATGAGCAATAATCGAAAAATTACGGATTTTGCTTGTCTTAATTATCATATAGGATAGTTTTTGACTTTACCGTTCGCAAGTAGAATTAGCCAAAGGTTTATTTACTTGTTTTTTTTGTTAATGTTTTTATTTTTGAAACTTTTTCGAATAGTTTATTGAAGTTTTGTTTTGTTATCTTTTTGGCAAAATGTGGTGTCGTTTTGAGGCGTTATTTTTTTAGGGTTTGCTTTTTTATTTAAGAAAAAATTAGCAACTATGAAGATTATCCCAATAGAAGCAAAAATGATGAAGTTTGTAGTTATTCTTTTTTCACTTCTTTCCAACTCATCTCTTAATTTTTTATTTTCTTCTCTTAAATGGTTAATTTTTCTTTCCTTTAAACTATTTTCTTTTTCTAGTCTTTTGCTTTTGGATTCTAAAAATGATAGTCCTCCAATCGCTTCATACATTTTTCTTTGGGCAGCATATTTAATTCTTAAATCAAAATCTTTCGATTCTATTTCTCTCTTTAAACTTCGAATCTCGCCTTCTAGATCAGATATTTCCAAAATTTTACTTTCAGCCAAAGAGATTAGTCGTCATATAATTCTTTTTAGTGCTCATGTTTCTTCGTCATGAATTTCTCTTAATTTTTCTAATTCGTCCTTTTCCTCATGGATTGCTCTTTCTTTTTTTTTGAGAATTTCTTCGTCACGCTCTTTTAATATTTCAAAAATCTCTTCTCCACTTAAATAATGATCACGTAAACTTCCACAATGAAGAACAAAGTTATCAATAATGTCCTTTGCAGTTGCTTTTCCTACATTTTTAATTATAGCCTTCCCTTTTTCTATTAACTTCTCTTTTTCCGCTAATTTTTCCTCTAAAGTATCAATTTCGTGAAGAAGTTTAAATACTTTTGTTCGCCATTCTCCTGTTGTCTCTAATCTTTCTCAGTCGATTACTCTTTCTCTCGTTGGTCTTTTTAACTCTTCTCAAACTGAGTCTCATTGGAGTAATTGTGGCATGATTTTTTTTTATTTTTTTTGAATTTTAAGTGTTCGTTCTGGTTTCTATTTTGGCTTCCAATCGCGAGGTGTTTTCTTGCAACTGCTCCGATTCAAGTTTTAATTCAGCTATTTCTTCACATTTTTGAAAAATAGTTGCTTCCAAATCTACATCTCCTATTTTCTTCCTCAGTTCGCTTTCTATTGCCCTAGCTTCTTTTTGCTTAACTTCTTTTTCTTTTGAGTTGTGTTTTGTTTCTTCCATGTAAGCACAAACCAAACTGTCTATTTCTTCCATCTCTATTCCTAATGGTCTAATAATTTTTATGAGTTCGCTTTCGGAAAAAATAATCAACTTTTTCCGCCATTTTTTAGTTTTGTTTACTTCCCCTCACAATACCCTATTTTGTTCATCATATTTATATAATTCTTTTTTCAGTCCTTCCACCTTTTCCGAAAGTTCTGTTTCTTTATTGTTTACTTCCACGCTTAACTCCTCCAACTTCTTTACAAAATCATCTTTTTTTTCTAATATTTTATTAGTAGAAATATTAACCAAATCTCCTATTATTTTAGGTAATTCATCTTCAGTATTACGTTTCCATCTAACGGATGTCATAGTTTTTTCGTGATTTAATACGAATTGTCCAATTATAGGTATAAATCCAATCGCTCCCACTTCTCCTTTTCCCTTAACTTCAAAGTATTTTTCTTTAACTCATTCGTTAGTTTTTCATTCTATTTCTTGACTTGCTATTTCGTTGAATTGAAAGTTTTCTAACTGATTTTTTATTAAATCTATCTTCTCACTGTTTTCACTTTTAGTTGCTTCTTCTTTTTCTCTGCTATCAGAGAGGACTAAATTTTCCTCTCTGTTTATGATTTTGCCTTTTGCTTTATTAGGGTTTATTGATAGATTTTTTTCGTCAGTCATAATATTATAATATTATTTTAAGGTTTTTTGTTAATACTTAGTTGATTTTTTTATTTGCTTTTTTCATTCTGTCTTAATAACCGGAAACATTTATTTTCTCAAAAGTGTTCGTAAACGGTTTATTTACTGGTTTTTTTCTTTTGCTGAGGGAATAAGAATAAACAAAGAAAACGCCAACAGAAATTACCACACACACACACACACACACTTACTTTAAATAAACTTCCTCCTTTTGAATCTTCCGACTTGTCATTTTCTCTGATTAATTCTTCTGCTTCTTCATTTTTAATTTCTTTGTATTCCAAGTATTCTTTGTGACGATAATACATTGGGGTTTTACAAATTCGCACATGCAAATAAGGGATGCCTAATCCGTGAGTAGATAATCATTTGGGAGCTGAATTTGCTTCTAAACTTTGGCTTAGTTCTTCGGCTACTTTTGCTCAAAATTCTCGTTGCTGTTCGAGCGGAGCATTTTTAGTAAACCGACTAATATTGCCGTAATCTCGTATTTTTAAGTTTTCATCCCATTTAACCGAACCGCTGACACTTTTTTCCTGGTCGGAAAACCAAGGGGCAGGAACAATTAAGTTGGTGCCACCAGGACTTGGAAAATTGAACACATAAGCATTAGAGTTGTTATTAATATGTTCTTTCGGACCAAAAAATAAATCTAGTTTTAACATGACTGATTTATCCGATTTATGGGCGGATAGTAAAAGTTCGGGGAAATTATTTAACATAGTTGCTACCGATTTCGGAGGCGAAGTGAAAAAGGCAGTCGTTTCGATTGGTAATGTTGGTCTGAATATTCACCGGCGAGGGCCAAGAAAAAAAAAAGAAAGAATTTGCCATGACCCGAAAATAGAGAAAAAAATCTATCAGTTGTTTTCGCAACTGAAAAACGGCGGTAATTTTTGGGCTTCGTTAAGAAATTTCAAGGAGAAAATTTGCATGAATTTCACCGCGGCCGATTTTGCCCGTGGATTGTATTTTGTAACGCTAACTTTTAATAGTCAGAATGCCCAGTTGGAATTTACCCGAGCTCCGTGAAGTAATGGAAAATGCTTTTTTAGTGATTGCCAAGGTCAGCATTTTTATCAGCCAGTAAATAAAGAAATTAGTTCATTTTTAGCGGAAAAAAAGATTGCCAAAAAATTTGGGCGAGAATTAGAAGGAGTGGGAGATTTATTTGCTAATTTTATTCGCTCTGTTTATAAGAAATTTCGCCCGGAAGAATTTAAGTGAGTAGCCGTGGCCGAACCGCATAAGTGTCAGGTGAAATGTCATTGAAAGGGTCAAAAGTCCAAAAAGAAAGGTTGGCAAAATCACCAGGAAAAAAATTGTCGTTGTGCCAGTCGGCACGAGTGCGAACGCAATTGACATATTCATTTGCTCTGTTCGGATTTCTTACCGAGCTATTTGCAGCATGAAAAGTGTGGGTTAGAAATAGGGCGAGGTTGTCACGACCACCGATTTATAATCGCCCATGAATTATGGCCGTGAGGCATGGCGGACATTAAAAAGGTGGAGTATTTGCGAAATTCCAACGGGCGAGCAGTGAAAACGGCCGAAGCCTTGGTAAGTTATTTGGTGAAATATTTAGGTAAAAATTTTCAATTGCGACACCAGCAACCGCAATTAGCGGCCAAAATGGGATTACTGCCCGGAATGGGTGTTTACAAGTTTTTCCGCGTGATTTATGGTTATCAGACAGTAGGCGAGCAAGTTTTTAGTTATGTCGCTGATAAGATAAAAAAGCCTGCTAAAATTTCCGCGACTTATATCAACAATTCGCCAACTTATCGCTGAACAGCCGAACGCGAATTAGCGGGGTGTTTTGCGAGTGATAAAAATGGTAATTGTCGGCTGAAAAAAGAGGTGAAAAAATTTCTGAAAACTGACGAACCTGCGAAAGAAAATGAGACGGGGAAAATTTCGCCCGTTCAACTAATAAAAAAGTGCTTGCGTTATGCTAGTAAGAGTAAGGTGAAAGTTAACCAAGCCTGACGGCCTTGCCAGATAGAGGAGGGACAAATTGCTTGCCAAATGGTCGCCGAGCATCACACGGAAAATATTGTGCGGTGAGAATTTTTTCTTTTTGGGGTAAAGAGGCTTATGCGGCTTGGCAGGCATTTATTAAGCCGTTAATTAGTAAGGTGGATTTACCGGCATTTACCAAGTTTGCCGATTATCAACCTAGCGACGAACATTTTGCCAAATTTGACGAACTGGCCCGTTGTCCCTGAAATAGCGAGATTAGCAATTATGTCGCCTATACTTGCGATAGTCAAAGGTGAGACGATAGCGAATGAAAAGAAACTGTGCCGCGAGAGGAAATTTATAACTGGGTTTACTTGCGAGAGATACGGGGGCTAATTAGTAGTGATTACCGAGTGAAAGATTACGGGCTGGATTACGAAGCCGCGGCGAAAAGATACGCCGATTATTAAGGGTTTTTTGTTAATTTTTTCCCCTCCCTTGGGTAAATAAAAAGTTGACTTATGACTGTGAAATCAGTCCGAGTTGTGGCGGTCTGCTCCTTACCCTTCCCCTCCTCGTAAAACGGGGTGGAAAGGAGCGTTTATATTTGTTTTTTGTATTATGATAGAAGCGATAAAAGACGCCGTGACTATGGCGTGGAGTTTGTTATTTTCTATGGGAGAAACAGTAACAATAGGAACAGGGGAAGACAAAGAAACCTTGAAAATGGGAAAAGGAATTGTGGTTCTTTTCATGGGATTTCTCGCCCAAAATCCCGTGCTTTTGCTACCCGTAGGATTTTACCTGATTATTATGGGTATCAAATCTACTCGTAAGTTAGTAACTGGC